CAGGCCACTGACACACATCGAGAGAGTTTTGGGCTTTGTGTGGTTCGATCCTAACCGCCGGGAAAGCCATCCCAAGTCCGACGCGGGCGATCTTTTAGAGTGCCGAGCAAGATGCCCAAAAGGCATAAATTCGCGAAGCCAAGACCTACCATGCGAGAGGGAGCAAAACTGCGAGAGCTAATTATAGAGGGTATGTCTAGACGAGACAGCTCGGGTGCAGGCGTCCTGGTGGCAAGGGCGTGCGCATGCGACGTGGTTCTTGAATCGCCAAGGGGAGGTGAAGGGGTGTGAGGGCTTGGCAACTTTCTCACCTCAGGGCCTGGAAGGAGGGGAAGAACATCAAGGAGGGGAATAAAATCATGGAGAGAAATTAAAAGAAGGTAAAACGGTTTAAAGTGGTCAGTGGTCTATGTCTTCCTTGCGTCACCAGGAGGAGGGGAGAGGAGTGTTTGCGAAGATGAGATGGGGTGGGCGGGATTTTCTGAGACGACCATTGTTCGGCACTGGCTTCCCACATGAGCAGAAATCTTGGGACCAACCTCGAGAGGGATGCTCGGTGCGAGAGTGCCGAGGGTGGAGGTGCAGAGCCTTTCTGGGCTCAATCTTGACTTCTCGGTGCGCCTAAGCTTTGGAATTGTCGGATTACAGTTGCGCGAACCCATACCTTGTTTGATGATCAGAGTTTCGTCCAAATCCTCGCAGAAACGCAGCATGCAATTGGCTGCTGTACGAGTAAATCGTCAAACAACCTTTTTTTCGTCCAAATCTTGCACAGGAGAATTTCCCATCACAGCGGGTTTTTCTTTAACCGGTAGAGTCTAGGTTCCCGCCTAGGTTAAGCTCTAGGTTGCTCTGGCAGGCCTCTTCATCGATCTCGCAGTCGCGAGCGGGCGTCGGTCACATTCAAGGTTAGAATTAAGGTGTTAAGAAACACGAGAGCATGGCAGCAGTCCAAAAAACACAAAACACAAAAAAGAGAAAGGTGCCTCCTGATCGCGAATACTGTGGTCAGGTCGACCCGGCGTCCTCGAGCTAGACGAACCGCTCCAGAGGCTGGCACTACAGCTCGCAGACGCTCAGCTTGGAGTTTCCTAGGTAGTATGTGCTCCGGGATTGGAGCCAGGCACCGGTGGCCTGGGCCATGAAATGGACATGTACGCCCGTCATCGCGGTATCGCCAGCAGCATAAACAGACGACCTCCTGTCCAAGTAATACCTAGACTCGAGAGGGGCCCTTGGCAGGTCGCAACAACGTCTGATAATCTCCAAGCAGTTCCCGGCGGACGGCGCACGAGAGCTGGGGGGTGCCTTGCAGTGAATATGCTTGATATGCTGAGACTACAAGCAATGGGACTCGGGACCGTGACTCTATGCAGTTCCTCGGCTCTCGAATTTCTTACGAACAAAACTCTCCATCAAGTTTCCCGACCCCTGGTGCTGGAGATTCCGGGGTCGAAAAAGTTTGACGAAAGCGAAAGCACTCACATTGCAGCTAAATCACTCAGCGCATTGAACGTATGGGATGCTGTCATGTATCCAAAAAAAAAAAACTTTAAAGCCCAGTGATTACATTCGTAAAGGCTTTTGAGTTATGTATGACACTAACTACGGGTTGATAAAACCAACGGTATCATGGTTGACTTGCAAGAGGTTCGGTATATTTCACTACAACAGTTTAACTTAATTAGCAGAGGTTAGGGCCCAAAAAAACTTACTTTCGGCACTACAGAACCAAGATTAGCGATATCCTGAGTCTGATCGACTTCAACAGTCCAAGCCTTGTCTGCGGCCAGTTGTCCTGGAACACTGCTGGGTAAATTAGGCGCAGGATCAAGGCATGAAACTCTCGTGTATCCTTGACGACGAAAAAAAGGTTCGATCCCCGACATAAGGTTGTTGCGTCTTGATCTACCTAGAAGTCTCCCGACTCGGCATACGTACGTTGCAGCATAATCTTGAGATCCCAACATTGCCCCGTAGTCGAGCAAAGCCGAGTATCCTCATAACAACATGACGTCTTGTAGATGCCTGTCATCATGCATTCCAACGAGAGACTGACGTCGAATGTCTCCAAGTTTTTGAGATAATTGTAAGCATACAATCCTGTAACAAAGGAGGCAGGAGTTGGCGAGATGCTGCACGCAGATCAAACGGATTTATGGACTTGGCAAGCTTGAGACGAGACCGTCTGCAACTTGAGACGAAGATCATCCGTTAGACGCAGCTCTGCAAAATAGGTAGCGACGTAGCATCGATAATAATTCACTCGTAAACTGGACCCAACGACATCGGTACGCCGTACGGGTGGGCACTGAAAAGTGAAAAGTTGGCGTGAATTGTGACGATTAGCTTGACAGGGCGGTAGAAATAACTTTTGGTAAGAAGAAATAAGCCTAGATCTGAAGGCTATAGGCTAACTAACTATAGTTCTTTGACTTTGTTCTCGCTTTCGGCACTGTTCATCGGAACAGCTACTGGCTTTGATTTTTGGGGTGTTCTCTCATTGACATGCTTCGGGCCCCAGGAGCACATCAGGGTATAACGATGGTGGCAGCGGCTATATATTTTAGACTATGTTTCCTTGGATTATTTTGAAGTCACATTTAACCCTGAGACTGGATAAATAGGCATACTGACTCAATGCCTCAATGTCAAAACGCGAGTTGAGGTGCAAAGATGTGAAATCCTGCGTGGGAAGATTGATTGCTATTGCCAAAGTCTTGTCTATTGTGTGTTTGTTGTTGCGGTGCTAAACGCTCGAGTCGAATATGCGCTTCGTAAGAATGCAAAGGGAAAAAAAAGCTCCCTGGGTTGAGTGAAAACCGCGTGTTATCTCTATACTAAATCCATAACTTCAGCGCTAGTTCGCCTCTTCGTAAAAGTGTAATAAATTGTCAAAGAAAAAATGATCCACGTGAAGGATCGACCCCACAGAATTACAAATAAAGGATCTGAAGGTTTATACCGGCGGTTTGATGATAATTGATATCACCCTGTAGTCCTGTATGAGATCAAATGCTTGTTGCCCTGTGTTTGGGATGAAGCTGATGTCGACCTCGTAGCTGCTTTCATATCAATGTATCATACCGTGTGACAATACCAATGATCAAGGGTTTTAAGTCTCTTGACCTAGAAGTCTCGTTGTAGACAACGGTTTTGCAAAAAGTCCTGTGGCTCGGGACTTTGAACTGTAACGCGTGTCCTACACTCAGTCTCCCAACGATAAAGTCTAGTATCAAGCCGTTGTGCGGCTCAATATCTCAATTTCACTTCATGTAGTGAGTTATGCCTTCACGCTGGAGCCAGGCCTCTATCTAACCCGGAGCACTTCCCTTACTTTCAGTCTTTGCCAATGCTTTAACAATAGACACTCACAGAATTACAGGTTTGCGTGACTTTGCGGTTGACTCACACGTGCATCTAAACAGTTGGAAACCAGTTTCCCATTGTTTTCTTCAAGAGCAACTAGCACCCTCTTAAGAAACCCAGACCTGGAGTTAGGACCATGACTTATCGGAATTGAGATCACGGGTGTCCAGGCAGTCTTTGCTCGACGTGTACCATCGAGTACAAACGGTTGTTAGTCGAAGCCAACTGATTTGCTTGCGCCTGGTCTGCAGGACTTCGAATGTTCGCACCGAGGTGTGGCAAGCACCTACACAGACACTTCACCATCATCACTGCCACGTTCCGTCAGCAACAGTCACCTTCACTGGGTTTAATGTGGTTCCAAGTTTATGACGAATGCCAACGGTGTGACCTACCCGACTGTACACATCGCCTCTGCCTACTCTCGTATCGACATCTCAGCCCAGGCTGAAACGTTATTCACGCTACCGACACCAGTGTTGCCACGGATTTTAAGTCATACCCTGCCTGCAAAGAAGCTTGAGAGTCTTAAAGAGGTCCCGCTAGGGCAGGGTGAGGAATCGCAAGAAAGCAGCGGTGTGACCGGCGGAGAGTATCAAGTCAGCGTCACGATGAGATGGCAGAGAACCGTGGAGCCCTTCTCGACAGCTCTTGAAGCTCGTCGTCTGCATGTTCACGGGGAGTTTGCCGAGAAACGTCCAGCATGTCGCAGCCATCATCGAGCTGGCCACTCTGCTAGAAACGGACGTGAACGCATAGTGAGCAACAGCGACCGTACCAGAATGCTATCAAATACTTATATACTTGGGCAGGACGCAACACTGGGGGGAGTCAAGTGTGATGCCGGCTGGGTGCACTCTGGCAGCCATACTTCCGGCTCAACCGAAGTTGGAGTAGTTCTTGGCTCCTGCATCAGGCGCTCAACCCCTGGCGTCAGTCGATGGGCAACTTCCGCCATCTTCTCAAGTTGAAGCCTCGGCTCCGCGCAGTCTTGCTGTTTCCCTACCGTACGACCCTCGTCCGTGTTGTCGTACTCCCGAATCCTACACGCTGAGCCGCGCCGCTGGTAACCGATGCAGACATCGTCGGACTTGTCCGAGAACTGAGGCCGGATCTTTCTTCTTTTGCCTAAAACGTCATGATGAGTGGTTTTTCCAGCTCTAGAATACGTGGCGCGTCGTGCATTCCCAGCAGCTTGTCGTTGAAAACGCCTGGCGCGTGCTGTTTTGACTGCAAGATTGGGATCTTTCGTTCGATGCGAGAGTGCGTCGAGGGCAACGAGCAGACGCGAGGTGGAGTATCAACACACATGGAATCACGTTTCTTTTAGCGATATATCGATAGGCGACCGTGCTTCTGAGCCCCTCGAGCTCGACTAAGCACTACTCAAGCCAGTCACAGTGTAGCAGGCCAACAAAGGGATGCCTTGATGATGCCACAGATCTTGCTTCATGACATTCACAGGAGGGATAGCCTAAATCTAATGCATTCTCTAATTGGGTATCTCTCACTAATGGGATGCATCTTTCACCCCGTCCATCATATCCAGAGTCCACAGCGCACGTAATTCTATCCTTGGTAACTATCCTCCTCTTGCACCGCCTTTTCCATCCCGTCCATTACCGTCAAACTCAGATTGTGTACCGGTAGCGCGGGCTCTCATCCCCCAACTCGGCCAGCTCATCATCCGAGAGGTCGGCGTGCTTGCTCTGAATATGACCGGCCTCGCGCTGCTTGTTCTCCCGCCAGTACCAGAACCACAGGAAGCCGTACAGGCACGTGGCCATGCCGACCATGCTCAGCGTCACCGCATGACCGCGGATGTACCTGGGCTTATCGATCGCTTGGCTGCATCCTGCTGTCAGCCACACGTATTCGCGAAAGAGTAGCAGGGGCGAGGAGTTGGGACTCACTAGATGAAGGACGACATGACACCGGAGCAATTCCCGATGGTCAGCTGCATACCGCTGGCGGTCGTCCGCTTGCCGTATCTTGGGGAGTTGTTTGGTAACTGAATTGAACCCATCGTTAGCACACCCACAGCGCCTCGCAAATCAAGATGTCAAACTCACCCATGCCAACGGCAGTCCGACGACGACATACAGCCCCGCCGCCACCAGGAAGCACCCAAAGTAGTGCGCCCCGTTCGAAGTCGGCGAGATGAGCACGCCGTAGCCGATAACGCTGATGGTGCCGAAAATGACACAAAACAGGCCGCGCCGCTGCATGCGGTCCGAGAGGAAGGCCATGGCCATGTATACCACTGCGCCGAGGAAGTAGCACGGCACGGTCAGCAGCTGCACCTGCGCCGGCGTCCACGTGCCGAGGCCGTTGATGATGGTCGGGAGGAACGTCGAGTAGCCTGTCGCGGTCAGAAACACAGTCTCGCGGCCGTCTTTTGGTCCGCAGGACTCACCGTAAAGCATCGTGTCGGCGCCAAACTGCGCGACGCAAAACACCCACACCTTCCAGTCCTTGAAAGCCTTGAACATGTCGTCTTTGCTGAACTCTTGCGCGCTGCTCGTGTTGCCGTATTCCCGCCCCCTTCGCCGCGCCATGATGGCCTTCTCCTCGTCGGTCAAAAAGTAGGCGCTCGCCGCGTCGTTGGGCAGCGCGAAATACGTCACGACGCCGAGAACGACCGTCGGCAGGCCCTCAATGATCATGATCCACCGCCACCCACTCAGCCCCGCGACCCCCTCCATGTGGCCGATGCCATAGGCCAGCAGGCCGCCCAGCCCGCCGGCGATGGCGGCGCTGACGAAGAGGTAGCCCACGCGCAGGGCGAGCTCGTGCTTGCTGTAGAAGAAGGTGAGATAGACGTTGAGGCCGGGAAAGAGGCCGGCCTCGACGACGCCGAGAAGGAGGCGGCAGGCGATGAGGGCGCCGTAGGAGTTGACGAGGCCGGTGAGGGTGGCGATGACGCCCCATGCGACGGTGATGAAGGCGATCCAGCGGCACGGCGTGAAGAGCTTGAGAACGAGGTTGGAGGGGACCTCGAAAATGATGTAGGTGACGAAGAGGATCGAGACGGCGACCTGGAACTGGTTGCCCTGCAGGTTGAGGTCGCGCTCGAGGTTGTAGAGGCGGGCGTTGCCAATATTGACGCTGGGGGTGAGTTAGCGCTAAGTGGTGGACCTTGAAAAGTCGCGGGTGCGCTTACCGGTCCAGGAAACTGAAGAGGTAGAGCAGCATCACGAGCGGGACGATGTGCATGTCTAGCTTGCGGACGATCTTCTTCTCGGCAACGGCGTCGACGGGCTCCAGGTCCCGGGCGTCCGTGTCGGGGGAGCTCGCGCCGGGACCGAGGCCGGCGTCGGCTTCGTCGAGCCTGTTCTTTTTCGAGGTGTCCATGGTGTTGGCGCTGCCGCCTATATGGCGGGGTTCGGAGTTGGAAAATCTACGATAACCCCAGGACGAAGCCGGAGATGAGACGGGATAAGTCGCGTTTGTGTGATCTGCCGCCCGGACGAATGTTGTCTCTTGGAGATGAGCGTGAGTGAGAGACGGCAGGAAATGTCGTCAATCGAGATGAAAGTAGCCGCAACTTAAAACCTTAATTGGCCAGAAGTTACTCCCTTGGGACCTCCTCTACGACCCTTAGACGATCGTAATGACGGCGCAGCAGGGAGGCCGATGGTTGCGGTTGAGATAGCGGGATGTCTTGGGTGTGTTGCGCAGGTGTTACAATTACATGCGAGACGCGCAACGATAAGAGATTTTCCCTCTCCAGGTGCTCGCCCCCCCAGTTCCTGTGTCGGCGGGGTCAAGAACCGACAATGGCACGATGCTGACTAGTAGTTATGGGTTTGGCCGAAAAAACCTGTGGCTGGAGTCCCAGAACAAGTCAATTAGACAGAGGGCGCTTGTGTGAGTCAGGAAGAAACTAACAGTCTAGGAGATGGGGGTTGGAGGGTGAATCTGTAAGCATTCGAGTTGATGCGACAAGAGACAAGAGTCTTGAATGCAGAAACAATACGTGCAAGGGTCGTAAGCAACGGGAACACAACAAGAGAGCAGCATCAGTCTTCAAAGAGGATAGAAACTTACAGATAAGAGTCTTCAAGGCCTGGAACGATTCGGAGCTGGGCCAAGACCCAGACAGGCAGGGTTGGTTGGATTTTCACGCTCGTGAAAGGGCCGCTGTTGCATCCAATTCGCTCGCATCGTAGGAGATACCCAACCTGGTGCCACCGCCCGGCGCGCATATCTGTAAGCTACTGCCCCTCCGCAACCTCCAACATGGCACTTATCGTCGTTTCTCGAGACCCTAGAGCGGTTGTGTTGCAGTTGCAGTCTTGGCTGACACTGGGGACCGGTCTTGGGCGGAGTTATCGCCGATGACGGTTGTGCTCGGAGCTATCGTTCGTTGACTGACAAATGGTGCTGGGCGATTCCGAAGCGTCGCGCTTGCTGACAAAAGAGACGAGTTCCTAAGCTTCCAAAGCCCCGTTCAGTCATGGATCAACGGCGGGAATCATGACGTGTCAGAGAAGCCTTTCCAACGCGCTTTAGCCCCGATGACGCCGTTGAATTCCTACAAAGGCCCCCCATCTACCGGACGCTCGGGACCAAATGCTTGCCTTACCTTTGCCATCTGCCGGCCTTCTAGCGTCTACTTATTTATGGTTATCCGGGCTTGATGCGGTACGGTAGCATCGCTAGTGTTCCGTACCTCACGGGACGGACGACGGTGTCGTTGATCTTCGGAGGGTTGCAACGAACACGGGCATTTTCCAATGCCAGTCCAACAAGGCCTTTGGATTTAGGGCGTGATCAATGACTGCGGTAAGAACTGAAATATGCAATAAGAATTTCAAATATACAATAACACTAGCCATAAGTACCCTCTAAACTCAAATTATATTACACTAGGCCTAAAATAAAAGAATATATTATAATTATAATTCTAAATTATAGAACTTTACGTTATTATATATTTACTATATACTTTAATAAAAAAAGACTTTATATAATATAAATTATTAGTTATTCTCTATTTTTTTATATAAATTCTTATTATATTTAAAACTTATATTAACGTTACTATAGTTATTACTATACTTTAAAAATTACCTTTTTATTACCTATTACTATAATTAATTACTATAAATAATTTATTATAAAATTTAATTATCTTATTATAATAGTTATATTTAATACTATTATAATAAAATATTAAGCTAATAAAAATAAAAATAAAAAAAAAATTATTAATAATAATAATACTATAATTATATACTAAATATATTAAAAGCTTCTTTTTAGTTTAAACTACTATTTTTTATACTTCTTTTGCCTTAATAAATAGTAATTTTAAGTATTATTAAAATAACTTATAAATAATATACTTCTATAACTATCTTAAAACCTCTTTATTAAGTAAAAAGTACTTATTTATCTATTTATTTTATTCTATAATAGTAATCTTAGCTAATAGGCTATTACTTACTTTTTTTATATTAGTTAATTAATTATATTTCTAGTCTAAAATAAAGTTTTATTATACCTTATAAAGCTTTATAAAATATATATTATTTCTTATAAAAAAGCTAAAGTCTTAAAAAAAATTAAAAATAATAAAAAACTAAGTAAATATTTTATTAGTTATATTAAAGTAGTTAATAATACGCTTATTAGCATATATATTTCTATTATTACTTAAAGGAAATAGTATAGTTAAAAAAAAATAGTTTCTTAAAATATCTTTACTATTATTTATTTTAATAATAGCTTTTTATTTATATTTATTAAAGCTAAAAAGTTAATCTATAATACTAATTTAATTAATTTTATAAATATTAAAAGGTTTAAAGTTGTTACCCCTCTGGTAGGGCAAGTCCTTCAGAGGAGCGGTCAGATCTATCGTGTAGTCTGACAGACCTTGCGGTCGATGTAGTGAACCTGCTTCACCAAAGATAGGATCTAGAAGATGGAGGTGAAAGAAGTTGATTCCCTCAATGACCCTGTGGGAGGTCTACCTTATATAGTGGTAGACCTCCCGTGTCTATCGGCAGGGGTAACATGTGCCCCCCCGCCTTGAGATATCGCCGTGCCGGCGATATCTCGCAGGGTCATTGTCTACGTGGTCTAGCTAAAATGTCGCTATACCTGCCTTCTTCCTTACTAATCCTATCAGTAAATCCGTTTCCATCCTCTGTCCATTGCTATAGCCCCAATGCCATGAATTCCAATGAAGATCGTAAGTCCCGGACCCCGCTTAGTGTCAGCCCTCCCGTGTAATCCGTCATGTCTCCCGTTTCCTCCGCCATTCCTCACAGATCCATATCCCCTGGCAGCCTGTTTGTTCCCTTGCCCTTGTTGGTGTGCGCCTTCTTGGTGGGGGTGCCGGTCGCGGCGCCAGGAGCGTCGCGTTTCTTGGTGGCCTTGGCGTAGGGGTTGGTGGCCTTCTGGGCTTTGGCGACGCCCTCGGCGCTGAAGGCGTGAGGTTCAACGTTAGGCGGGCGAGGGTTGCCGTTGCTGCGACTGCCAGTTGCGTTTCTGCCTGACTTGCTGCCCCCGGTGGTAGCCTTGCCGTGGGAGTTGGCAGGGTTAGTGGTGTGGCCGTTTCGATTCTCCTAAATCAAAAGCCGGTCCGCCACCATGTTAGTCTTGTGGTCAATGGCGTTAAGCTTGTCGGACATCGCGTTGAACTCCTCGAATTTCGCGGCAAGCTTGGCGGGAATTGAGACCTTGCGATGAACTTTGGCGGCAAGTTCACCGCGCAACTGGTTAATCATGTCGTTTTGAGCGATGTTGCTGTCTCTTTTGGCCTTAATCTTGACGTGAAGCTGGTTGATAGCCTTATCATGGGTCGCGGCAAGGTCCTCAAATTTGGCTTTAACCTTGCCTTGCCAGGTAGTAACCCCCTCTTTCCATTGGAGAAGTGTCTCAATGGCAGGCGTGCCGCTGGTGGCCTCGCCAGTGAATCCGGTGTCCCTGACTTGCGCTAGGCTTGACCTCTGCAGTTCAGCAAGGCATCCGCCGATAGACTCAACGAGATATCCGTTCTTGTGCAACATGCATACCGCCAGAACCTGCGCGTGAGATGGTAGTTTTGCCGACCAACCCGATACGCCAGTCATCTTAGCATCCCGGGCTCTCTGACAGGCTTCCTTGACACCGCGGACGACGCCATTCGTGACGAATGAGGCGTTACTATTCTCTTGCTTGGATTTTTTCTTAAAGAACTCGTCAAAAATAACGAGTACCTCCTTGCGAAGCTCATTGTCGGGGGCGGTAGCCATCTCTTTGTCGAGGGTAGAGATGGTATCCTCGAGGGAACGATGGTAATTGCCAGCCCTGCTGCGGCGGTTGCTTCTGCCAGCTTTGTCGTGGGCAGGGGTAGGAGTGTTGACCATCTGGATGGACTCATTGTTACTGTCCTCCTCGTCGGAGTCGCCGTCTCTGTCGTCGTCAGAGCTGTCATTCTCATTGCTCAGGGAGGCCGCGTCGTCAGCTCTGTTGTCGTCTCTATCGCCAAGGCCGATAGGGCTCTCCTTTGGGCTGGAGGGAGTATTGGTGCCTTCGAAAAGTTTGTCCACGTCGTGACTTCCACTGGTGTCCGTGATGTTGCCTCCTCTGCCGGCGGCAGGGTCACCGAAAATCGAGATGCCGGTCGGGTTGTTGTTTTTGTCAGGTGCCGGCCGGGCAGCCTCATCGCCGGGGGCGTCAGTGACAGGCGTGGGAGGGAGAGGCTTAACGATGGCGTTGCCGCTGTCCTTGGCTTGGGTAGTTATTGTTGGGTTTGGTGGTGGATGTGTTGGGAAGAAAGGTAAGTCTGTTGTCGTTGAGGTGAAAATATTGAAACGAAAAGGTGAGGAAAAGGTTGCTGTTAAAGCTACTGCGTGGGGTGATAGTGCTGTCGATGGATCTGATAGGGATAGCAACTATCTAAAAAACGAAAAAAACAAAAAGAAAATTTGTGAGGCTGAAGAGAGAAGAAAAGGTGAGGTTGAGGTGGGCGATATTCCGTTGGCTGATATAGGTGCTAGTGGCCTGCGCCTGCGCCTATCGCGCCTTCCTTTCTTGCTCTGCCCCCTTGATAAGGTAGGTACGTCCGAAGATTTCCTTTCTTGCTGTGCGGGAGGTCTATTGGTGTCCGTTGGTCCTGTGAAGCTTGCCACTATCTCTGGATATCCTGGGGTAACTCGTGAGTTGTTTGCCCAGGGATGATCACTTTGATCTGAGATTTTGTGGGTATATCGGTGACGATTTCCCTGTCAGGCCTTAAGATATTCCTTCTACCGTACTCGGCTGTCCAGTCGATTGGATGGGCTGATTCAAACTTATCCATGAGTTCTTGGGCCGTTCTAATCAGTTCTAGGCGTGAGACCTAGCTGTTGTCCTTGGCGGTGAAGCCTTTCTATCTGACGAGGAATTCAACGCGAGGTTGGTTGTGCAGCCAACGGATACGTCGCGTGATAATCCTGTCCAGTTCCTAGACGTCCTCTCTGCTTGTACCGTCAATTGCCACTGGCTGTGGCCGAGTGCTTCCCCGTTGGAAAGGATCTTCTCCCTGGGCTGGTTTCCAGAGTTGCGCCACCGAGACTACCGGGTGAACCCGCCATGTGGCTGGGAAGTCAAGTTTAGTAGCCAGGACGCCTTTCATCTCGACTATCTTGAAGGGACTGGCTTGCTCTGTTGACTATTTCCGCTTAGGATGCCTGGGCAGATGGTATTCCTTTCCTAGGCGAAGGTAAACTGTGTCCCCTTGTCGAAAATCAACTGGATTGTGCTTTTTGTTGTATCTATCTTTTGCTATTGCTTCTGTGATGTTAATTGACCTGATAGCCTCTTCCTGGTATAGATGGCGAAGGACTTTAATATTGGTCTGGGTGCCCTTGTCTTTTGTGCTGGTAACTAGTGTGATTGCTGATTTTGGCCTAAATCCTATCACTACCTCGTTAGGCGAGTATTCTATGGAGGATGCTAGAGTGTTGTTGAGGTTGAATTGTAGAGCTGGGAGTATTCTTGTCTAAGGCATGTTTGGTGTTGTAGTAGTGTGGAATCGGATTGTGATTTCTACTGTCTGGTTTTTTTTCTTGTTTATGCTATTAGTTTATGTATGGTATGACGTAGAAAGGAGGAGTTTAACGTTTAGAGCGGTGAATATGTTCTGTTAGATGGTAGAGGTGAATTTTGGATTTTAGTTAGATATAATTTGTTGTGGTAATTCCTAGTTTGTAAGGAGAAGTATTTGAGCTAAAACCACTGCTTAATCTGCTGTTGTATATGTTGTGTGCCTTGCGATTAGTAGCGTTTGTTTGTTAAATAGATAGGAGACTGTATATAATGTGTTTAGCCTAGGTTGATTCGGTATTGACCAGAGGGTACCTGTTGACGGCACGTTGGGTATATTGGTAATAAAGTTAATAGCGATGGTGTGGAAAGGGGTTGTGTGGACTGGGATAGGCTGTAATTCCTTTGGCGTTTTTCTTCTTGATTTCTGGTATTCTTGATAAGTAGGACAGTATTTGATGTAGCTAGAAACTTTTGCCTGCTTTTGTCTGATGAGGAGGCCTTTGAGCTTATAGGTCATCTTATCTTCCTTAAAGTGGTGTTTGTTGTCGTGGGCAAGTTGTAGTACTTCCTGCTTATAGCTGATTGGGATATAGAGTTGCTGTTATCTTGTTGTTTTTATGTGGTAAAGAAGACTGTGGTTGATAGCTTATGGCGAGACCTTGTTTCTGTGTTGGGCTATGTTAGGAGTGACGTATTTCTTGTTTTTCTTGGCTGCTGCTTGCTGTTGCGATAGAATCCTTTGGTATTTTTTGTCCTGTTGGTATCCTTGTTTAAGCTTGCTTCTGAAATCGTCTGTGATTTTTAGCATGGTGACCCTAGTCCCTTGGTTGATAATTATCTTATCCCTGCGTAGTATGTTGCTGCTGTAATGTCTACTAATTTGTTTTTTGTACTAGTTTTGGCCTTGAAGTGATTGCCCTTAAATGTAGGTAACTGTGATAATGCGTCTAGTATAACGTTAAGTTTGTCTGGGATATAGGTAATATAGAATTTGAATTATAATAAGTAAATTACTGCTACTGCAAGTTTTAGGTTGGTTTTGTTAAGGTTTATTGTTTTAAGCGAAGTGTGTGTTACTATGCCTGCTGTTGCTGTGTGGTCTGTGAGGATATTGACTGGCGAGCTGTTAGACTGGACCATTTTGTAGAGCTTATGGACAGCTTAGATGATTGCTGTGACTTCTGCTTTTGTAGCCCCGTAGGCCTTCTTGGCCTTTGAGGTGGCTCTAGACAGGAAGAGGACAGGATGGACATGCCTGACAGGGATATTGCAGCCAGGGATCTTAGTCCTGTCCTAGTTGATGTCTAGCTGGAAGACGAAAAGGCCGAAGGCACTTTGATAGGTATTGATCTTGAAAAAGAGGGCTTGGTGTGGGTTGTGGTGGAATCTGAAAGCCTGGCGGCAGAGGTTGTCTTGGAGCATGTTGAATGCGGCGTGTTCAGCGTCAGTGCCTTTGAACGTGGCTTTCTGTACCTGTTTTTGCTGGGTAGTTTGGTTAAGGGTGGCTTGAAGTTTTTTTTCTGACCTTATTTTGGCGAGAAGAAGTTTTTTTTTGTTTTGTAGCGGGGCGGATATGACGTTAAACTAGGGAATGCTTTCCCTAAGTTAGCTTGTTATGTCTAAGTAGGTTTTTAGGGCTACTGCTGACGATGGGAACTTGATTTTCTTGAATGCTGTGATATGGTTGTTTGTGTGAGCAATTCTGCTGCTATTAATGACGTGACTGAGGAGTTTGACGCTAGGGTATCCTGTAAATGACTTTGTTGTTGATAGGTGGAGGTGGTTTTTTTTGATAATCTTAAGGATAATCTTGAGATGTTTGGTGTGGTCTTTATCATTGTTGCTAAAGATAACAATATCGTTGATATATACCTTCATAAACTCCTGATACTTATAGAATAGTCGGTCTATATATCTCTGCGCAAACGCAGGCGTATTCTTAAAGCTTATAAGGATGACGTGGGACTTTTTGAGCCCCTTGGGAGAGATAATGACCATTTTGTCTTGGTGGGCTGAATAGATGGGTAGTTGATGGAAAAAACTTGTAGCGTCTAGGACTGTGATTCTAGATTTACTTTGTATAGTGTTAATGATGTTGTCTTGGTCTGGAAGAGGGTATGCGTTGGGTATAGCGACCTTGTTAAGTGGCCTGAGGTCTATAACCGGTTGTGCTTTAGGCTTGCTGTCTACCACGCGATTTACGACGAAAGTTAAGCAAGCGATTGGGGCCGGTTGTCTCATCCAGCTTATCTTTCTGGCCTTGTGAAGTTTATCGTGATAGTCGTCAAGGAAAGCCCTATCTGCGCGCCCTAGGGGGTATGGCTGCACCAGCGTCTTCTGGTTTTGCCATTCTTCCACTAAGTCAACTTGCATTTGGTCCTTGTCTTTCATTGGGACGACACCCCTGTCTTGCTATACGTTAAATTTATCTAGGATTCTGGCATATACCTTTGCCTATCGAGGGCTACCTGCTGTAATAGAGACTCCCTGGCTAGACGTTTGACATGGGATATCTGCCGGTTTTGATACTCCGTAGTCAGGGATTGTGTATGGGTTAGGCCTCTCTGTTGTTGGTTGGGTTCCCGGGGAATTGCTTCTTGCTTGTCTACCTGGTTCAGGGACGCTTGGCGGGTTCCCTGACGGGTCTTGTAGCAGGCATGCTGCATTGGCCTATTTAACGTGGTACACGTCAGCTTGTGCTTCTCTATTGGTAATAGTCCTTAAGTGTTTTTTTGGGTGAATGATAAGGGTGCTAGGGCTGTTGTTTCTTGTAATAAGGCGTTTTGGTGTGTCCTATGATAGTATAGCGTTTGGCATGCTAGGTTTTGTAGAGTGGAAGTGGTATATGTCTTTGGGATTTTGTGGTTCTTTTGTTTGTGGCGATGGGAGGTCGTTAAAGTTAATTGTAAAAAAGACTTTTTGACTTGGCGGTATGGCGACTTGGTGTATAGCTTGGACTTGACGTCTAACTGGTGTTGGCCGTTGTACGATCTGGACTGGCACTGTGAGGTTATGTGTAGATTGGAAGGTAACTTGTGAAAGTGCGAAGTCAATCTTGACTCCGTGTTTGATGTAGAATGGTACGCTTAATAATAGTCTCGGGGCTAAGTGGTCGATAACCTCAGCTTCTACGTAGAAGTGTCTGTCTGTGGGATTGTTAGCTATGGTGCCAGGGATATAGAAATTGAAGGAGACTTTTCCTTTGACTTGGACGCTTGCCCCGACTCTGTTTAGCGTGCGCTGGTGATTATGATCTCACTTTGCGTTCTGCGCAAACGTGGTAATCCAGGCGCGGTCCACGAGGGTTGCTGTGCTCCCTGTGTCAAGGCATACTTCTGTCGTTTGTTTCCCTGGGTCCGATGTGATGCTAAGCCTCATATATGTTGCCACTATTGGGTCGTTAAGGATATCTGGTCGTGGGTTGGCCTCCATAATCAGATGATCTTGGGCTGTGTGATAGATGCCTTTACTGCTTTTGGCGTTTAGCAGTGGGGTAAGGCTTTTTCTGACACTGGGGGCACTACCAGTAGAGGAGTTGTGTGCGTTGGACTTGTTGGTTTGTTTCTTGTGGTGTATGATTTGACGAAGTTTGTTGCTGATTTTGGAGGGTTATTGTTATCTTCTCTGTCCTTGCCT